TTCCTAGCAAGTCTTATAAAAGTTGGAGACATTCTCGTTACATAAACTCACTAAATTGCACTTTAGCAGCGATTATTAGAGAGCGCACAAGAAATGCTCATATTAGTGTATTGTGTATTTATATAGCTGGAAAAAATCATAGAGGAAACACTGAGTTATATGCATTAAATAGTAGTCTGGTCAGCAAACATCTTTAGAAATGAAAAGATAATACATTTAAACTCAAGTGAAATATTTTAAAAGCAACAAACAATTTACAAACAACAAAATTTTAACTCTGTTTGATACATTTTTTTTTTTATTCAATATTTTCCCCTAACTAATAAATTTAAGCTACAAATTTTTGGACCACTAAATTAAGTTGTTTTGTTAGATTAACTCCAGATTTGGCTTCATTACTGACTAAACCAGTGGTCACCAAACTTGTTCCTGGAGGGCTGGTGTCCTGGAGATTTTAGCTCCAACCCTAATCAAACACACCTGAACAAGCTAATCAAGGTATTGCTAAGTATACTTGAAACATCCAGGCAGGTGTGTTGAGGCAAGCTGGAGCTAAACCCTGCAGGGACCCTGGCCCTCCAGGACCGAGATTGGTGACCCCTGGACTAAACTAATGTATACGCACAAATATAAAATTGTAAAGCGTCCTACAGGAAATAATAATTTAAACAAGAAATTTGTGAGGGGTGTACTCATATATGCTGAGCAATGTATATCACAATGATGCAATAACTTAAATAATATATATATATATATATATATATATATATATATATTGTTATTCATTTATTACTATGTTTGTTAATTAAATACCCAATTATGACACACATTACATGCAATTAATATAATTATTAATAAAATATTTAAAATGTAAAAGTCATTTTTTGTTATTTAAATATCTTTTTTCATTTACATGATATTCAATTATGTATAAAACATTGTAAAGTTGTGATGAAAGCAGAAATATTGATCAGGATTGTTGTAGCTAAAAAGAATATAAATATAACCTAAAAATACTACTACAACTAATAATAAAAATATAAAGCGAGAAGGTCGCAAGGTTCGAGCCTCGGCTCAGTTGGCGTTTCTGTGTGGAGTTTGCATGTTCTCCCTGCGTTCGTGTGGGTTTCCTCCACAGTCCAAAGACATGCGGTACAGGTGAATTGGGTAGGCTATGAGTGTGTGTGAATGTGTGAGTGGATATTTCCCAGAGATGGGTTGCAGCTGGAAGGGCATCCGCTGCGTAAAAACTTACTGGATAATTTGGCGGTTCATTCCGCTGTGGCGACCCCGAATTAATAAAGGGACTAAGGCAACAAGAAAATGAATGAATGAATGAATGAATATTATTATTATTATTATTATAGTATATAAGAACTTTACTGTAATGAGTTGAATACCATTATTATCTATCTATAAATTAATTTTATGTACATTTCATATATTTGTATGTGAAATATATATATAAAAAATTGTAATGTGTTATACATTAACAGTATAGGTAATAAAAGTTCTTACATTTAAATGATGTAAAAAAAAGTGTAATAAAATTAAATAAAGATATAATAATAATAATAATAGTTATAATATTTAAAAATTATTTCATTAATTTAATTCCTTGTTGTATTTAAGTGATATTATGTACACTGTAAAAATGCTGGATTCTATGATCCAAGAATTATGGTCTTGCAGCTCATTTTAAATAAGTAGTGAGATGTAATTATATAGTTAATATAGTTAAATATGTTTTGAGTGCATTGCAAAAAAGGATGAGATTATTATGAAAGCAGTGATATAGATTTTTTGTTTATTGTTGCAGCTATAAAGGATTCAGAGGAAACTGTGCGACATCCTTCATCGATCAGTTTAAAGCTCTTCACCAATGTAACAGGTACTGTGAGTTACTAGGCCTTGTGTCCCTCCAGCCCAAACCCAAGCGGACCGTCGCCCCGCCAAAGCCAAAAACACAACCTGTGCCAAAGAAGAAAACCTTTGGGCCCGTTCTGAATGCCAAATCCTGATCGCACAGAAACCCTGAACATTTTCTTGTAAGCTTAATAGGTGTTTGAAGACCGTAATAATGACGTCTTGCTCAGGGACAAACATGTTTCTGAGCTGTTTCTTAAAATGTAAGATGACATTCATCTGTAAGGACAGTAGGGAGTTTACTTCTTTCTTGAGAGTTTTTTTTTTTGTGCTATTTTAAAAGAGCGTATTTGTTTTTTTTAATGTTTTTTAAGAGTAGATGCTCACAGAATTTATATTAAATGTTAATGACTATCTTTTGTTTTGTTGGTTGTTCAAATTGAGAGAATAATGGAGGGTAAAAGTCAGTGTTTTTTCTGGTTTGTTTGAAAAGTTCTGAATTTTGCCAGTGTTGCTGCCATCTGCTTCTTTATTATTAGCCCACAGGCATTTTTGTTTTATAGACAAGCCAAAGCAACAACAACAACAAAAAAGGTTGGAAATGTTTCATGTTTTTTCTTGCGCTACATTGGTGAAAATAAGTATTGAACACGTCACCAGTTTTCTCAGAAAACATATTTCTAAAGGTGCTGGTGACTTGCCCAGATGTTGGTAACAACCGAAGAAATCCATATATGCAAAGAAATCAAAATGAATTAGTTTACAAATTAAGCTATGCATAATAAAATGAAATGCAAAGGAAAAAGTATTGAACACATGAAGAAAGGAAGGTGTAGAAAGACAGTGAAAGCCTAGACAGCAGCTGAAATCTCTCAGTAGTTCTTCAGCAACCCTCTGCCCTTTCTCATTCCTCATTAAATTAATATTAGCTGCTTCAGTCCAACATCTACAGTACATTAGCAGAAGGATGAAGATGAAACCATGGTGAACATTTTAGCAAGACAATAACCCAAAACACAGCCAAGAAAACTTTTCAGAGAAAGAAAATCAAGCTGTAGAATGGCCCAGCCAATCACCTGATCTGAATCCAATAGAAAATACAAATTAAAGATCAGACTTGATCGACGAGACCCACAAAACCATCAAGATATGTACACTGTTGAAGTCTGTGAAAAACACACCTGAGCGCTTAATGTGACTTTATTCTTCATATGAGATGCATCTTTAACCTTCCATCACCAGAAAAGTCTTTTATAGACAGCATTAAATACGTTTAGGTAGTTCAGCATTTTCTCCTTGTGTTATAACATTGTTATTAAACATAACTCATTGTTCAGATTTGTTTTGTTGTTTTGTTTAATTTATGTTTGTATTGTTTGGATTTTTACCAAAATCTGGTTCAATTTCATGTCAACAGCTCCTTTAGAAATATTATTTCCAGGAAATAAAACATGACGAGTTCAATACTTATTCCCCCTGCTGTGTATGTTCGCATTTCTACAATACTTAAAATAACCACTACAGCTTAAATAGATATTTACTTGATGAGTGGTATTAAAGTAAAACATTATTGTAAATGTAAAAATGTATTGTTAGCAGCTGCTAAAATTTACATGCAGAGCCAAATCTTTATTATCATTATTTTTTTAGACAAATGTATTTAGAGATTCATAATTATTATTATTTTTTTCTTTTCATTGTTTATCTGTTAATCTTTGGAAAGGGTGAACTGGAAAAAAACTATTTAAATGGGCTGAATGTAAACAAACAAATTAAATTTAGTAGTTCATCTTAATTTGTTTGGTTGGAAAATTTATTTGGGCTGGATTTAAATATTTACCTTAAAAATGTAGTAAATTCAATGAATCTTTTATTTCAGTGTATGATAAGGTAGTAAATATGATCCAATGGAAAATTTTGTACACTTGCCCTAGTAAACAGCTGTTTATTTGCCTCAGTAAGAATGACAAACCTTCCACCTTCACGTTTCCAGCATCCTTTCAAAGATCAAATGACTTACTGCCTCATTGCTATATATAAACCCACACGTTTAAAGCGATGTATTTGTCCTGTTGATACTAATGAACCGCACAAATAAACTGTGATGTTAGCCACTTTTTGCTTATCTAGATAGTCTTATCTTTAAGTATTTGTAGTCTTAGTTGTTTGGATTGAAGATTCAAGTTTTTAGATTCTTGGCTTTACTGAACCACAATCCACTTTGAATGAGCTTGTCTGAATGGTATATTGTATAATAATAAATATTGTTTTTCATTATGGAGTATTGGCTGTTTTGTTCACAAGTAGTTAATAACGTAAAATGCTTTAGAAATCTAGCTTTGCTAAAGATGAAAAAAATAAATGTAGATTATTTTCATTCAGAAATTGCACAATTAATTACAAAGAAACAGCAAACAACACAATCAAACATGAACATTTGGTCATATTTTCTTACATAAATCTTAGAGCAGTTTTTTTTATTTCATTATGATGCCATACTGATAATACTGATCAACATATATATATATATATATATATATATATATATATATATATATATATATATATAGAGAGAGAGAGAGAGAGAGAGAGAGAGAGAGAGAGAGAGAGAGAGAGAGAGAGAGAAAAGTAAAAAACAATCAAATTTATTCTGTTATTCTTCCATATTTCGATAATTATATATATAATTATATATATAATATTCATGTGTTCATAAATGGGTGCAATAGTCACACTTTCTATTTTAAAAAATATTTAAAAAAAAAAAACTACATAAAAAGCTTTGTGACTGAAATCCTCAACATCAGCGATCTTATGCCACTATATATGCTCAAAAAGCTTAAACCTTGCCTCCATTTTGAATTAAGTAGTTTACCTCACACAGCTGCGTCATTCTTCTCTGATGTCTTACAATCCAAAGAAATTGTTTAACTCATTATCAACTCTAATACTAGCAACTGGGTCACTAGGCGAGGACTTCTTGTGTATTTTGAGCAGACTCCAATTCATCAAACACTCAAGTTTAAAAAGTCACGAAGTCCACGCGCGTTTGACATTCCCGCCGTAAAATCCCGCCCGTTGCGACGTCATCTGTTTCTCTGGCGCTGATTGGCTGAGGAGGTTGAGCGGTCACACCGTGGCTATTTAGTGTGATAATGGCGTTTGACGACAGATGATACAAACACCATTGTCACACTCCACAGCTCTGGAGGACAAACACACTGGTTGGAAACACACGAGAGAAGTGAGTTTTGTCAACATTTTTGTCTCGAAATAAGGCCTTTTAAACATTTGCTTATTTACGTTTTTGACCCTGTTTTCGCCAAAACCTGCAGCTACTTCATCAACTAAAGTACATCTATTTTAAGCTGCAAATGACTTTACTTATAATTATTATAATATATAATAACTTTTTTGTAATATTAACTATTATAACTGATAACTGTTATATAATAACTGACACCCGCATTTGAGTGATGACTACACAAAAAATAAATGATTAGTCATGACAGCATATATTTTTAATTCATTGCAACTTATAAAATTAAGTTTCAACATGATTAAATTAATTTAATAAGTTACGCAAGCTGAAGTTATTTAACACAATTTAAGTTCAATGGACTCATAAGGTTAATTTAATTAGGCTTAAAAATTTAAAGCAACCATGATTTTTTACAGTACTTTTTACAGTAGTAATTATTTTATCTATCTATTAGTAAAAACAAAATCTTACTGACTTCTGTGGGAATCTGTTTCTCGGGATTAACTGTTCAGTTTTGACTGTAATGTATATTTTAGTAATTCTGTTAGTTAAATTAATTCCTGACTAGTAAATATTACAGACCAGGTGTAAAATATTAAGCATTAATTAAATAGTAGTATCTATTTTATAGATACTAATAGTCATTTATTTGCTAGGCTACAAGTACTCATTTATTAGACAGTACCTTTTGTGACCATTACTATTAAATTTTTTTTTGTCTTGCTAATATTTTACTTGTATAACAATTTGACTAGTCTGAATGACCACAATAGAGTTCAATTAAAAAATATAAAACTATATATAAAAAAATCCTTTAACATTTTTTAAATTAGTATCTAGTATTCATTCATTAATTTTCCTTTGCTTAGTCCCTGTTTTTTATCAGGGTTCGCACACTGAATGAACCACCAACTTATCCAGCATATGTTTTGCGGATGCCCTTCCAGGTGCAACCCAGTACTGGGAAACACCCATACTCTCACATTCACACACATACACTACGGCCAATTTAGCTTATTCAATTAGCACATGCTTTTGGACTGTGGGGGAAACCAGAGCACCTGTAAGAAACATGCAAACTTCCCACAGAAATGCCAACTGGACTAGTCGGGGCTCGAACCAGCGACCGTCTAGAATGAAACAAATGAGTGCGAACAACTAATAAATAAGTACTAGTATGTAATAAGAACTGGTAGGACTAACTAATAAGTGTTAGTATGTAAGGATTAAATACTACTATGTTTAAAATAATCCACATCTGGAATACATACAAAACTGAATTGTTCATTTCTCAATTACTAATATCTTATAAGTAGGTCCACACAGAATCTGCACATGCAGAAATCCACAGATTTTTAGCTCATCATTGAGTCTATTTATGTACTAGTGTAAATGTGTGTAAATTTTAAGTTTTTGAATTAATTTCAGTAATATTATTGGCTAATATAAAAGCGTTCAGTGGTTCATTCCGCTATGGCGACCCCAGATTAATAAAGGGACTAAGCCGAAAAGAAAATGAATGAATGAATGAATAAAAGTGTTAATTTGATTTATTTACAATACAGTTTGTAAAGTAATATTTTTTGTATTTTAGTATATATTTATTAAATGATAGACTTGCTTTGTGTACTGAATAAGTGGAGCTAGATGGATTTGCATTGTAAACATTAAATAAAATTTTAAAGCTATTTTATTTCATAGATAATAATTTCGCATAAATCCGCAGATTTTTTACAAAATCTTCCGCAGAAAGAGCAAAAAAAAAAAAAGTCAGCAGATTCTGTCTGGCCCCTCTTATAAGAAAAACTAGGCTAATATCTAGTAAATAAATGCTTGCATTTAAAAAATATATATACTAATATCTTAAGAATGAGATCTAGGATTCGATGTACTAATTCAACTACTAATACTTAATGGAAGAATACTATTATCTGAAAAAGTTGGTACTATTAGAATGAAAATAGATGCTGTACATTTTATATATTACATGTCGTTTTTTCACTGAACTCAGAATGAACCTATAAACTGTGACTTGATTTTTCCGCTCTTGTCTGTTCCAGCCGCAGGTTCACACAGCTGTCATGTGCAAGTGTTATCGATTCTGGTCTTCTGTTTACGTGTCGCTCAGAGGAGTGCAAGATGACGGGAACCGTGCAGATGGCCTCTTCAAGCTGACGTTTGTGGCGTTTTCAACTTCACATCAAACTGCAAAATAGGTCAGAAAAATGAGCTAAACAAGGTCGCTTACATGCTTTCATGATCACTCACAGATTTTAACATTGAATATTTAATGTCAGCCACATGTATACAGTATGACTCTGGAATGTGTAAACTGATGTTACATAAATATTTAATTAGGTCAGATTTACTATTACTACTTCTACAAAAAAAAAGACATCTGCATTTGTTTGATCAATAATGAAGTTAAAACATCAATATTGCTAAATATTTGTATAGTTTAAAATAACCAAAGTTTCTTTTGGTGCATTAAAAAATGATTAGTCCCAATTTATAAGTTTCTAATTTAAATTCTACGTCACATCCACAGTAAAATATGCAGTGAAATGCTTATACAATCACCCATGATCTTACCCCCCCACACCCTCCAAAAAATATTATCAATAGGAATCTAAATTATGGAGTTTAATAATAAGAAAAAAACACTGCTAATTTAAAATATAGTATTGTTTAATGTCACATAATTCTCTAGAAATCACTTATTTATTATTATCATTGTTGAAAACAGTTATGCTGATCACTATTTATGTGAAAATAATGACATTTAAATAAGAAAAATATAATTTATTCTATAATGGTTTACTTTTCTGCATTTTTTAACTAAAAAAATATCTTAATATTATCTTTTTTTAATATCTCAAAAGTTTTAATATTTAAAAAATAAAACTTAAAAGGTACTAAAAAAGGGCATCACAATGGCACAGTGGGTAGCACAATCGCCTCACAGCAAGAAGGTCACTGGTTGAGCCCTGGCTGGGTCAGTTGGCATTTCTGTGTGGAGTTTGCGTGTTCTCGTGGGTTTCCTCCAGGTGCTCCGGTTTCCCCCACAGTTCAAAGACATGCAGTACAGGTGGATTGGGTAAGCTAAATTGGCCTTAGTGTATGCATGCCTCCCAGTGTTGGGTTGCAGTTGGAAGGGTATCCGCTGCATAAAACATATGCTGGATAAGTTGGCGGTTCATTCTGCTGTGGCGATCCCTGATTTATAAAGGGACTAAGCTAATAACTGGATGAAAGTTAAATAGTATGAAGTTAATAGTAACTTAGTTAATAAATACTAGTTAGTAAATAACAACTCATTAACTTAGTTAAATAAGAATTAAGAAAAATAAATAAAATTAAAGCTTGCAAGCTCACAGATTGAAGGTCGCTGGTTCAAGCCTCGGCTGGGTTAGTTGGCATTTCTGTGTGGAGTTTGCATGTTCTCCCCGTGTTCGCGTGGGTTTCTTCCGGGTGCTCTGGTTTCCCCCACAGTCCAAAGACATGTGCTATAGGTGAATTGAATAAACTAAATTGACCGTAGTGTATGTGTATGAATGCAAGGATGTATGAGTGTTTCCCAGTACTGGGTTGCACCTGGAAGGGCATCCGCGGCGTAAAACATTTACTGGATAAGTTGGCGGTTCAATCTGCTGTGGCGACCCCAGATTAATACTTCGACTAAGCCGAAAATAAAATAAATGAATGAATTAAAGTTTGTTTTTTTTAGTTTTTTTTTATTCTTTTCTCATTTAACTAAGTTAATGAATTAATGATAAGTTAATGAAAAATGAATTCAAAACTAAGTTAATATTAACAAAAAATCATTTTAAAGTGCTTTCATGCAGTTTTTAGTACTAAAACAAACTACACTAATAATAATAATAATAATAAACTTTAACTTTAATTCTTAATTAAAAGGTAAAACAAGCTTTTATTTTTCTTAATAATTTATTAACCTAATAAATACTTAAGTATTTATTAACTAGTATTTGTTAACTAGTATTAATTGTTACTATTAAAAATAATTTTTAAACTTCTTTCATGCAGTTATTAGTATTTATTATTATTATTATTATATATTTAAAAATATATTTTATGTATTTTATCTCAAGACAACATGTTTTTTTGTTTAGATTAATGCATAAAAAGTAAAACTGAAATCATTTTTAAAAACTAAATAGACATTTAAAAAAATGAATTTAATTCTGTTAATGCAATGCTAATAAATGAAAGCATTAATATCTATCACTTTTTTGGTGTTTTTTAATCCATCATAGAGGTTAATAAACTCAATGTAATCTTGTACAAATACTGGATTTTATTTTAAGTATAACTCATAAAAAGCTATAAAAAAAAGATTTCAGAATAATTTTGTTTATTAAATTTAATAGACTTTTTTCCCCAAATATGTGATAGATATTTTGACAATTAAAAATAACATAAATTCTCATGTTTATTTGTGAACGGGTGACTTACCACAGACCAAGTTCAGTAAATATGCCAGATCTTCATGTTTTTTCATCACTGAAAAAAGAAACATAAAACAGACCATCCACCAACTACAAACTCTGTTCTCCACAGCACACTCACACGCTCTCATAACCTCGTCCGTCTGCTAGAAAACAAGAAACAAGTCTAGTCCAGAGGAGAGTTTGCCATGACTGGTCAACCTGCTCTCCTTTAACCTCCATATATGTACCAAGAGGGGGTTTAGTCAAACAGTTTTGCGATAAGCTTACAGAAATATTGATCGGCAGTGAAGAGAGGACGAGGTCACGAACTCAAAACTTCAGAAAAAAAATACATTTGAAAAGCACAATTCCTCTAAAAGTCAGATTTGATTGACCAAAGTTATAGATATAAATAAAGGTCGGATCACCTGAGATCAAACACAATTTCATTTAGACATGGCATTAGTGATTAAACACAACTCATTAAGTTTCTATGCCTTGAAATTTCAGAAGGGTGCAAAAAAAAAAAGACAAAAAAATCAGCAGTGATTCCATTCAAATCCTCAAAAGAGTAAGTTAACCTTTTTTTCTGAGAAGTGTTGACAAATATGTTACCGGTTTGTGTTGAAGTTATGGCCTGGATTAGATTGCGGCAGTGTTTGGGCTCATTCTCTGAATCCAGAGCTGTTTGATGTGGGTGAGTTTGGAGTTGGACTTGTTTGTGATTGCAGAAAGAGAGCACTTGATAAAGTGTCCAGGACAGCCGGCCGCTTCTATTTGCTTGTCCTTGGATCTGATAGCCGTCCGATTGCACGTGTGAATGAACTGAGTTTCCTTCACCGCAGGACCTGTCCTACTGCATTCGTCAGAATTAAAAAACGTTTTTGAAACCAACGTATAGCATCATATACAAATATTATTTATAATATATCAGTAAAATAATGACTTTTTCCTGCTTGTTCAAATGACCTATTTAAAATAAGTTGAACCAACAAAATTCCTAAGGTTGTTTGGTGACAACTTAATTGTTTTATGTTCAATCAACTTATTTGTAAAAACAATTTACCTAATCAGTTCGTGTTGGTACAACGTGAAGGAATTGTGTGGAACCCAGCATTTTTTTTTTTTACAGTGTAGAAATCAAATGACATATAATGCATATTCATTTAAAAAGTGTAGTTAAAATGCTGTGAATAGTGTAACACATTTGTAATATGAAATACTCAAGAAAACTGTTTCCATTTTTTTGGCATCTCCATAACACAAAAAAAAAGACTGTTCCTGCACATAAAAATAATATAATCATGTTTATAATCATTTTATAAAAAGTTCAATTTTATAAAAATGTTCTAAGAAAAACACTCTCAAGTCAACATAGTGGCATATAAATATTATTCACAATAGAACTAAATGACAATGCATATTCGTTTTAAAAATGTATAATTAACATGTAGTCACTAGCATAAAATATTTGTTATATGAAATACACAAGCTAATTGTTTACATTATATTGGCATTTCCATAACACATGCACGCACGCAACATGATGTCTAATCAGAAACAATAAAGTAACCTGAACTACTGCATTCATCAGAAATAATATTGTATATATTTTAAAACAAATGTATAGCAGCATAAACAATCATTATTTACAATTTAATAGAATTAAAATTATTCTAGGTTGGGGGTTGAGCATTGGGCTAACAACCCACTTCATAAAAAACAAGATGCTAAGAAACAACTGTATGGTGTTACCTGAGAGTATGTATAATGCATATTAATAAAAAAATGGGTAATTAACATGCAGTTACTAGATTTTACCATGACATAAACGAAAAAATTATTTACATTATTTTGTCATCTCCATCTCTCTCTCACAGAAACAAACACGACTTCCTGTTCCTACACATACTGTAATATAATCATTTATAGAATAATTTTATAAAAAGTTCTATTGAATTTTTAATGTCGAAAAAAAAAAAACATTTTCAAACCTGCAGCATAACATATAGCAGCATATACAAATATTTACAATAGAACTAAAATTAAGCGTAAATAACATGAAGTTACTAGTGTAAAATATTTGTTATATGAAATACACAAGAACTTTATTTACATTATTTTGGCATCTTCATAACACATGCACGCAACACACACAAAGACTTCCCGTTCCTACACATAATAGTAATGTAATCATTTATAGAATCATTTCATATAAAATATATTAATATTTACAATTGTAATGATTTTTCAAAATATTGTTTCTTAAATAAAGAATAATAACAGTCTTTTGAGCATAATTGGCTTTTAGAAATAAATGATTACTTTTCAATTGACTTATCATTTTAATTATAACTTGTACAAATTATAATTTAAAATGATACCTTTATAAAACAACGTCTATGGTATCAAATCAGAAATAATTAAGAAACATTTTTTGTACAATTATAAGGAATAATTGACCACAGGTCAATAATAAAATAATGGTCAATATAATAAAATAATGCACACCGAAGTGGCCACAGCACAAAGCTGTTATTTAGTCAATCCTTACCTGAAACTACATTAGCTGTGCATTTATCTGAAAATTACTGTAGAATGTTCATCAGCCAATTAGAAACAAGAATTTAACAGCCTCATAGTATGACCACAAATCAGAAACATTACTTATAAATTACCAATCTGACAGTTTTTTTTTTTTGTCTTTATAACGTACAGTTATATGTTGTTGTATTTTTTGGCTTGCAATGTTTAGGCATAGGAAGTATAAAAAATTCAGTGAACTGAAATCCTTGAACTAGATTTGAAAAGACTGAATGGTTGCCAGATTCCACTCTGTTAGCTCTGCTGACTTTGACACAGGTCGAATCAATATATGGTGTAGCGGTGTATATTTGTAAGAAAAAGAAAACCCACACGATATAACACAAAAAAAAAAGTGTTTGCTTTTTTTGTTGGCTTTAGGCAGTCCAGTAAATGACAGAACTGTTTATGTCAATCGTCATTTTAGACTTCAAACCTTGAATAGTTCTTTGGGGAAATGTATAATCTTGGTTAAATTTACAGAATTCAAAATACAATGAGCCACTAATTGCATTCCATCCATTTTATGACATTGAGGCTATTGAGTAAAACACCACCACACTGAAATACCATTTATCAGTTTATTTTGAACCAAGTTATACGAATCGCAAGATCTTGTGTTGAGCAGGAACCAGACAGTAAATGTTCCTCATCAATAAAAAAGAACTGTCTCTACAAAAGAGGAAGGGTAATTTATAACAATAACAATAATCATAATATTATCACAAACCTACAGAGCCACAGCGGCCCGAAAAGTGTGAGTGGGGAGGTGTACAGATAAAAGTCAGGAAAAGAAAAACGAAAAAAAGATTTAAGTCCTACAGATTGTTCCTACAGATTCCAAATTCACACTGAAAAACCAGAGCAAATCTTGATTCACATTGATGAATCAAAGCGACTCTGGATTCACAAAGTAGAATCAGAGTGACTCTAGATTCGCATTGAAAAACCAGTCACTCTGGTTCTTTAGTGTGAATCTGAAGTCCCTCTGAATCTAGAGCAACTATGGATTCACATCGATAAGCCAAAGTGATTCTAGATTCACAATAAAGAACCTGTGAGACTCCAGATTCACAATAAAGAACCTGTGAGACTCCAGATTCACATTGATGAACCAAAGTGATTATAGATTTACACTAAAGAACTAGAGACTCTAGATTCGAGTTGATGAACCAAAGTGATTCTAGATCCCCATTAAAGAACCAGAGAGACTCCCGATTCACATTGATGAACAAAGAATGACTCTAGATTCACACTAAAGAAATGAAGACTCCAGATTCACAATGATGACCCAAAGTGATTCTAGATTTACACTAAAGAACTGGAGACTCCAGATTCACAACGATGAACCAATGTGATTCTAGATTCACACTAAAGAACTGGAGACTCCAGATTCACAATGATGAACCAAAGTGATTCTAGATTCACACTAAAAAAACCAAAGACTCCGGATTCAAGTTGATGAAACAAAGTGATTCTAGATCCTGATTAAAAAACCAGAGACTCCAGGTTCACATTGATGAAAAAAAAGTGATTCTAGATTCACACTAAATGAACAGAGACTCCAGATTTACAATGATAAATCAAAGTGATTGTAAATTTACACACACACACGCGCACACACACGCACGCACGCACGCACACACACACACACAAAACAAAGACTCTGGATTTGAGTTGATGAAACAAAGTGATTCTAGATCCTGGTTAAAGAACCAGAGAGACTCCAGATTCACATTGATGAACCAAAGTGATTCTAGATTGATTCACACTGAAGACTCAAAGAGACTCCAGATTCACACTGATGAACTAAAGTCACTGGAGATGTACACTGCAGAACCAGAGAGGCTCTAGATTCACAATGATGAACAAAAAGTGATTCTAGATTCACACTAAAGAACCAGAGAGACTCCAGTTTCACATTGATGAACAATAAGTGATTCTAGATTCATTGTGACTGCAAATTCACACTGAAGAACCAAAATGACTTCAGGTTCATACTGAAGCAGAGTGACTCCAGATTTGCTGTAGGGACGAGCTGTAATCTGATATGTTAGCAGCAGGCCGATTATAAACAATAGATATTGCACCAGGTGAATGAGTGCTTATAAAAGAAAAAAAAAAAGATAATCACATTCAAGTTCACAAATAGACGTGTTATGACCCTAGTGTGTGATCAATAAAGTGCCCTTTTAGGTACAGTGGTGTTAAAAGAAACAAAGAAAGAAAGAAAGACAGAAAGAAGGAAAGTTTACGACCTGAAAGTCTACAAGACTTGCAGTGTTGAATCACAGCGCTTTTTTTAAGATAGCTTCACTCTGTGTCGTTCTTTAATACTTCAAACACGTACAGTAAAAGAGTCCAACCGCTTCTTTCCCAGAAACAAAACTCATTTACAGCATTATGAACAGGTATAATCATAATAAAGATAAGAACAATACTTTTACAATTGAAGAAAACCCTCTCCGTCAAAACCACTTTGCCGATCTTTGCTCTGAACTGAGAAGAATAGCTTTAGAATTACTACGCAATCATATTGAAACACAAGATACATGTGCATGCCAGTTTTCATAGCAATACAATAATCATGTCGATCATGTTTTTTTTTTTTTTGTCTTTTTTGTTTTTTTACCCACGATGATATGAATTTTGAATATAGCCAGGCCACTGATGCATTTCTGATAATGTTGTCGTTTAAAATAGTAAACCACATTGTTGGTACAAATATCCGTTTACTCTGTAAGATAATTATAATAACAGCGAGAATAATAAACTATTAAAAACAACTGCTTGCTTCTTGGCATTGCGAAAGACGATAAAAAAATAATCCTCGACCAAGGAAGGAAGGAAACTTGGCGTATTTTGTGGGATAAGGGAGGATGAGGATTGGGACCTTCATCCTGGCTGTCATTCCTAAGGTAATCTGGTGTTAGTTAAACCTGATAAAAGAG